GGAAAGATATTGGGATGGCACTCGATTGGGGTCTTTATATGGGAACTATATTGGGATGTCACTCAATTGATTGGGGTCTTTATATGGAAAGATATTGGGATGTCAATCAATTGATTAGGGTCCTTATATGGAAAGATATTGGGATGTCACTCAATTGATTGGGGTCTTTATATGGGAAATCAATTGAGTGATATCCCAATATCTTTGTCATATAAGAACCCCAATAAATTGAGTGACATTGTTGACACTCTACCCTCTAGCCCAGCGGTTCTCAACCTGTGGGTCGTGGTCCCTTTGGGGGTCGAACGCCCCTTTCGCAGGCGTCGCCTAAGACCCTCGGAAAACACATCAATGATCACATATTGATTTTGTGATTGATCACTGTGCTTTCATGATGTTCGATGTGTCACCATGAAAATCCATCCTGCAGATCAGATGTTTCCATGATGATTCATCACAGCAGCCACATGACAGCGATGACGTAGCCACGAGAATAATGTTATGGTTGGGGGTCCCCACAGCATGAGGAGCTGTATTCAAGGGTCGCGGCCTGAGGGAGGTTGAGAACCACTGGCCTAGCCCCTGGGGATGCTGGGAAGATAACTGGGCATTCTCGTCTCTTCCAGTGGAGTTCTCCTACTGCGACCTGGCGTCCATGCGTTCCATCCGGGAATTCGTCCTCAAGTTCAAGGAGAAGAAATTGCCTCTCCACGTGCTGATCAATAATGGTGAGCTCTGACCCATCCCAGAGGTCGATTATTTTATTTTATTGAACAGAGGCCCGGTGCACGAATTCGTGCAAGGGAGGGGTCCGGCCAGCTGGCCGCAATCGGGCCGATGGAGCTGGGCTGGTAGGGAGGAGGGACTGTGGGCAGCTGGCTGGCTGGCCCCATCCCCTGGTCGAACTCCCGGTCAAACTCCTAGTGGAGGGGACTATTTGCATATTAGCCTTTTATTATATTGGATTTGCCTTTACTTACTGCTCAGTTTTGTAAGAGCAAGGCCCCTCTTGTCTCGCTCATCACCGAATGTTCAGGTCTCAGAAAAGTGCTCTGCACAAAGTAAATACTTATTGAATAAAAATGGAATTCTGAGAAAGCTGTCTTTATATCCATTCATTCTAAAT